GGGGGTATTTTACCCAGAGAACTTAAAAAGATGAGTAGCTAAAAAAGGCATGGGTAATATATGGTTTTTAAGAGCACCCGAGCAAAGAAAATATGAGAGGCAAACCGTGATTGCCGATGCCTGTTTCAGATCTAGATCTAGCTCTTGAAGAAAAGGCAGTCTTAACGCCGTTCCCGATAAGAAAGGCGTTTTTGTAACTCTAATTTTAACACTTGGTTCAATAGTCATCTATGGGAGAAGAAGACTGGCGTCTGTGGTTTAGTGGTTTGGCACTCCGCCGTCGCATGCAAAAGACCCGAGTTTGTTTCCGGTGAGGGGAGGATCTTTATCGAGTATCTCGGTCTTTTTGCTGATACGGCGTATCCCTCTCAGCCTAGATTGTCCCTGACAGGTAGGGTCGAAGCCCCCATCATAAATGATCTAAACTGTGTCGACAGGAGTGTAAAGCAAATACATAAAAAAACGGCACAAAAAAGTAGCTTGTTAAGACTGCTTCACAAGGCCAACATGAGTCATGTGTGATCCGACCCAGCAGAAAAGTGATGTATACTTGATATTTGAGGCACTGTTCTTTGCCTGTCTATAGCATGATGACTATCACACCGCAGGAGCCTATCTCCTGAACAGACAAAGAAAGGATCAAAACAGAAATAAACGAAAGCAAACAAAAAGAAAAAAAGCATGCATCAGTTTTGTTCGGATGCCTATCAGGGCAAGGGCTGATTCTACGTTCTATAAAAATATTAAACTGCCATCTGTTTGAAAATCATCTACACGGTGAAATGAAGATTTTACAGTCAGTTTACTCCCTGGGCACTAGTCTTGCAGGGGTATGAGAAGAGGAAGAGAATCCTGCTCGTAGCTCCTCTTGAGAATAATATCATACTTCCTCTTGAGAATAACTATCAGTGGTGTCTTTATTCTGTCGTCTGTTGTCCCAGAACGCCCGGCAGCAAATCTGCTCTCTGGAGGAGGAACTGATGCAGAAGGAGGAGGATCTCAAGTCCTGTTGTAGCGCTGTGCGGTGCAAGGAAGACGAGGTCAGTGACCACGTGATCATGGGAGATGGATCACGGTTAAGGTTAACTCTTTTGTTTCTGTTGTTTGTGTAAAAATAAGCACATCAGCAGTTATGTCCATTTAGTGGAGGAGACAATTAAGCAACGCTTTGGGGCGGGGG